GGGGGGGGGAAGGGGGGTGGATCTGATCACCTGCAGGGTGGCTTACTGACAAATGTAATTGTCACTTCATGGTAACAGTGCAGCAGCTGAGGGCTTATTGACAATGTCGCGGGGGCCTACCGGCGAAACTGCCAAATGCCAGCCTGTGGAAAAGGACAGTCTGGCGAGTACAACTTTCAACAGATTGATCAATGAACGGGGACATTGGGGGGATTTATAGACGAACTCATAAAACTTGTGGGGCCTATTGACAATTTGTCCCCGGGAAAACAAAAGCATAGGTAGCGGAGGAAATAAGATAGGATTTCGCTCCAAGGCAGGAAGACTAATGACTAAAGCCATAATAGCCCCGCCACTCAGTACTGCAAAGCCGCCGTTTCCAAGGGACGCTGGCGAGACCTGGTTTCGAGCAGGTGCCGCTCCCCACCAGTGGATGGACTAGCCCGATAGCCAAGACCTGTCTCCCGGTGGTTCTCTTACCACCGCCAGGATAGTGGACAAAAAAAAAAAAAAAGGAAAAAAAAAAGAAGAAGATAGTATGCCATCATTTCATATTCACGATGGGTGGAATTTAGAACGACGTGGTGAGATATCAGACCAGGTAGGTTCAACCCTTCACTGGTTCGCTTGCCACCAGAATGTAGCATGAATCGAGTAAAGAGAAAGGATGGGTTTTGCTTGCAAATGAAACAATCGAGCGAGTATCCACTGGTCGGAGAGCACACACCTCTCTCGTAGTTACCTATACCGCCTGATGTGGAATTGGTATGATTGATGATTACTGTGTCCTCCTACAAGATTGTCCCCAAGGAGAAACGCGCCACGGACCTCCTTCCGTGTTTCTCCTTCTCCTTTAGGACTACCTACCGGATTCATAGCAACATCATGAACAGCGGGTCGTCTTCCTCACCATCTACTTCCAAGTTGGGACTGCTTTCCTATAACTACGCTTACGGTTCCAGATTCATGTTTGAAATAGGACCAGATTCATGTATGAAATAGGAAAGTGTGAGAGAAAGCAGCAGAGAGGTCCACGAGATGCAAAGCCAATTGCTACAAGGAAGGCAGTAGGAAAAACGTTGTACAGTTTACAGTGGGGGAACTTGTGTGAGGACAGAGGCAGGGGATGGGGTGTTGATGATGATGATGATGATGATGATGATGAGGAGGAGGAGGAGGAGGAGGAGGAGGAGGAAGGAAGGACAGTTGTAGATATCAGATGTTCTGCTCGATTTCCACGTTGTCTACGTTGAATTCCACGTTGCCACATCTCTTTTTTGTTTTTTTTGTTTTGCTGTCTCAAAAAGGGCGGCGGCCTTGAGGTATCGTTGTTTGAACTGACCGACCGCAGGTCGTTCAGAAACTATCAGATGTCATTCATCTGGATTCGAACTCAGGTCTGCTTTTCAACAGTTCGTTGTGGGTGTTCCAGCTGAGCTCGCCCCGTTGGCAGGCCAGATCTATTGCATGATTATATCCCGAGTGGTCTACATGCTGCACCCCGTGGCATGCGTTCGTTTCCATGCCGTCTGATGCGTTTGTTTCCATGCCGTCTGATGCGTTTGTTTCCAGGCCGTCTGACTTCTATTACTTCCGTTGACCGTGACACCTGACTATGAAGTTATAAACGCACACTCTATGTCATCCTTATGGCCATATGGAGGATGCGTGGCTCGGTTGCACGGCAACGAGGAGCTCTCACTTGTCCGCGCTTGAAAGCAGAAGTAGTAGACTCCATATGGCTCACTCACTTTTCCTCACTGTCATATTCTTTAGTTCTTCCTGAAGTCTCCATTAGAGCAACCATAACGAAGGCGCACAAGAGACTTCAAGAAGAACTAAAGAATATGACAAAAAATCAGGAGACCAGGGAGCTGGCAATCAAAATCGATCAATCGAAACAAACCCGATCAGTGGCTGGGTTCACACAACAAAAAAATGGCTGATCTGCGGGAAACGGGGACGCTGGTCTGGAAAAACTGGGCCGCAATTTTGAAGACCCAATGGTTTAACTTAAACCGGAAAGGTATTTTTTCACCCCCATTGAAGGGGGATCGGAGAGGCTACTACTAGAGGCGAAGATAAACTGAGATTAACCCCCGAGAAGCCTCCTTAAAGATAAAAACTGAGATTAACCTCCCAGAAGCCTCCTTAAAAGCCTGCTCGATAGTTCATAAGTCCTGGCCGCCGCCCATCCACTCCGAAAACACTCTCAAACTCTGTGCTGCCATATGTCTATCCCTCACTGGCCCCTCTCATCATCCTCCCTCTCTTCCCGTACACCCTTCCAGGTTCCGTCAGCAGAGTTTGTTCTCATTCGTCTCATCTGGCCCTCCACCTCCATGCCCTTACCTAAGCCCTCTCCCTGCAGAGC